CAAAACAATTGTCCCTCATGTCTCCTCCTCGGCATGCATGGCCTAGCGACGCCCATGCTTGACGTAATCATCGTTTGCACCTCAACTTACCTTCTCGCCTTCTCACTTGCTCCGATGCTGCTCGTCTGCCAGACGAGGCAATCTCGACTGTTTGTGCAAACCCTGCTGACTCTCGGTTCACAGTCGCTCACATGCTTCATACTCCTTCCTCCTTCCTCCTTCCTCCTTCCTCCCTCCACCACTCCCCCTCCCTCATCCCTTTTGTCCTACTCGTGCTCCTGCCTGTCTATTCATCTCTCCATACGGTCGCCTGAACAGAGGCAGGCAAACGTCTCTTCTTCTCCCACAACCGGGTTAATTGGGATTCCATTCTTAAGGTCGAGTCCCCGTCCCCGTCCCCGTCCCCGTCCCCGGCCAACGCACACTCGGCCTCTCCTTCCCCCACCCCACCCCGCCTACGCCTCCTCCTCGAACGACGTCCCTCAAAAGAGTTGGACACGGGGATGCCCTGAGTCAACCAACAATGCACATGTACGCTTTCTCAGGCCGTCCGAGAAACTGGTGAGACGCGAGTCGTGTGGATTTGCTTTGGCAACTCTGATTTCGCCCAAGACACTCGTCTTCTTTCCCACTACACCCACCGATATGACTTAGCCACTGTTTTGAGAGAACAATCTCTTTCCACCCTTTCTAACACACTCGCCCATACAGGCAGACTTGTGTACGAGAAGCGAGGCAGCGATTCACAATGCCACCCTCCACAAAACGTACCTCGCGCATCCTCACACACACACATACACACACACACACACACACACATATGCACAACAATATACACAAACAAACCATTTCACCTATTGAGATGTAAAATGTCTCGTGCAAGACACACAGACAGACGCAAAGTATGAGGACTAGTGTCGATGAGGCCAGAGGAGAGAAGACAGGACATACTTTGCATACTCGTGGAGGCAGAGGTAGGGGGTGGGCGGAGGGGAGGGTGTTGGAGGTAGGACATTGTGGATGGGGAAAAGGAGGAAAAGTGTATGACATCGAAATGTGTTGTACCATTTGGCCTAAAGGGGTATGCAGGCGAGGATGCAGTACGGCCGTCTGAGAAACAACAGCTGGACTCAAAACTCATGTGCAACATGATCCTCTTCACGTGGCCGAAGAGAAGCCTGGAAAGGCCGACAAGCGGACAAAAAAAGAGGCAGCCTTCAAACTGACAGACCGAAAACATACACACACGAACAGGGACAATGGCGGAGCTGAGGGGCGAGTTTCGGCCAGACGAAGGGTCAGATTCGTTTCGGACACGAATGCACCGAAACCGCCGGTCTCTTCTTCAGGAAGACTCGGCCGACGAGATTGCCGTCCGTAACGAGGCGGTGCTGGCCGACCGGTTGGAAGGAATACATTTTTCTCTTCTCAATTCTTATGAGCCAACTTGGCGAAGGATGAGTCCTGAAATGAGTATTTTATATTGTTTTGCATTCTGATGTTGTATAAAAGGACAAGACAGCGGTTGACTTCCAGAGTTATGCAACCGTTAGGCTCTTTACTACGACCCTCAGGTTGAAGCGGTCCACGAGACTCCGTTCCCCGTTTGAGGAGAAAAAGTAATGAACTTTCGTTCGCCAGCCCAAATTGAGGCAAGTGGAAATGATTAACTGCATCTAATCCACATGTTTTATATTGAGATATGTAAATTGATATGAAATTG